TACAGTCAAAATTCCGATGCTGCGTAAATAATATTGTAATATTGTTTATGAACATTTTTGGGTCTATATTGTAAAAGTAGGAATCAATGACGATTGCAAACTCTCTTCTTAATACAATGTTTTATTTTCCCCCCAAAAAACGCATTATATTTAGATGTTCAAGGACTGTTATTTGTCTTTCAAGCGATAATATACAATAACTTCAAGTTCACTTAATAATATGCTACTGGTATATACACCCTTCAGTAATTCACTGAAAATACAATCACAATTATACATTAAGTTCAAGATATTCAGATTGTGATGCTTGTCATAAGTGATTGTGTACAACAGTTCACTGACCTTTGACTACAAGAATACCCTCAGTGATCTGTAATGTGAGAATTGATATGCAAACATGTCACATGTACTCTACTACCAGTAATAGATCCTGGTGGCTTCAGTAGATTGAAGGGGGAAGTCAACATTTGTATAAGTCATTGAACCTTGAACATATAGTTAACAATAAAGAAATAATTGAAGCCTATCATTTAGATCTAATGAAAAATTATATCATATTATGATGACATCCTCTTCAATATTAAAATTGTTGTTAATTATTGGTATGTTCAGACTTCAGAACAATGTTTAGATACAACCGATAATATTAGCAGCATCATTCTTTATTAACTATTTAAACTCCAAAATTAGATTTGTTAACTGATGAGGGTCTGTGTTTGATAGAGCACTCAAGCTGCTTTTGTAATAGATGTATTTAGTAATCACATTAGGTTCACATGTATAAATAATGTACAGTATAAGAGTGTATGTAAATGATACTGTTAGTATAATGTGTGTATGTTGTTTTAGGTTTAAGAAAAACTGCAGTGTACGTGTGTGGCATCAGTCTGAAGTGATACTAAGATTACCTTAGGCCAACAAACATAAATGATTTGTTTCTGTTAAGCACTGAGTTCAGAAAGGTCTGCTCACAACTTTTTTTTCTAGTTTCTGCCAACAAAAAAAATCAAAGGAAGTCACTTCATTAATTTTTTGAAACACCAGAAACACAAAACAAACAAAACCAGAAACAAATCCCTAATTTTTTATTATCAAATTTAATACTTACATTTTTATTTAGAGTGCCATCAAGATGTGAGTGAGTATAGAAATTCAAGTGCGCAATTTTCATTCATAATAGTTTTGCCTTTCAATTAGAATTTTACAATTAATTATCTGCTGAAAGATTTGCCCAAATAATTGCAATACATAAAATTAACAATGTACTTACATATATAAATTTTCGCAAAAAAGCAATTTGAATGAAAATTTGCTAGAAAAAAAAATTGGCTGATGACTTATGATTATTGTATATATGATAGTATCGGCACATATCAGTCATAAAATAAATTATATTTTTTCTGAATCCCCAATAATTTTCAAAACTATTTTTAGATGTTGTTTAAAATAAAATGATTGCTACTACTGAAATATATTATAGAATACATTGTATTACTTCATATATGTATAATGTGCATGCTGTAAAGAAGTGTGTTTTCTTCAGATTACACGCTTTAAAATTGAAAATTATTATTTATAATAATTACATCATAAATTATCAAAATCTGAATACATTGATTTTTGCTATTACCTAACTCCACTATTATGGATGTTCACCAACTCGGCTGTGCAATACATTTACAAATAAATTGACAAACTCTACTTGTATGAAGTCTCCTGGGGTTCTGTGATCAGCTCATCTTTCAAATACATCAATGATGGATATTGCTCACAGTCAAACAGTACGTAATCATCATAACAAGCATAACTTATAGAAAATATTTGGTTTTGGCAAATTTGTGTACCTGAAAATGTACAGTTATCATTTTAGCTACCCTCTGAAATTTGGTTGTCTAAAGTGGTTATGTGCAGTTATTACAATACTGTAAAATACTTATTTTCGCTAAGAATTAATTTTCACTATTTTCACTGAAGGAATGATTCAGTGAAAATAAAAGCCAGCGAATATACCTGTTTTCCTATATTTTACATTCAACTTGTCAAGAATCAGTGAAAATAAATTCCATACAAAACACCCCAAAATCTTTTCAACAAAAAATAATTCCAGCTGAAATAAAGTATTTTACAGTACTGTGCATGGTATTTAAAATTCACCTCACAAATAGAGCTATAATCTGAATTATAGATGAAGATATTCAGACTATGGTGCTTATAAGTGCTTTGTAACAGCAGCTCACTGGCCTTTGACAAAAAGAATGACCTCACAATACTCTGTACAATGATAGTTGATATAAACCTAGCATGGTTGTACAATATGCACAACTATGCTTTCAGATCGTTTATAATATCAAATGGGACGTTTCTAATGTAAGGACGTTATATTTCATTGTGAATATCTGGTGACCGAGTGTTCCATAATAATATTGGATGTGAAATTCTACTCTTAATAGTCCACAAATTTTTATCCAGCATCCTCCCAAGGCAATAGAAGTAAAGCACCCCCTAGCATTTTGTGAGGGCCCCCCTTATGTGATCAATTAAATTTATTTTCTTACAAATTACAGTGGGCAGTTCTTGTAAAATAGAAACAAGCTAGAAGGCACGCCAGGATCGCAAAACCTCCGCAACAGACACAAATTACTTGTCTTCACTAATGCCTCTATCTGATTGTATTATTATGCCTTTTTATGACAAAAAACTTGCATCATATTTACAAAAGAAAGCCCAAATTGTGTCTTGAATAGTCTATTACCTTAACAAATCGGACAATGGCCCTACATGTACATGTATCTGGAATTGGTGGATAAACCTTTTTAAGTTATAAACGAAAGTCATTTCAGAAATGGTTGTTTCCATTGCAACCAGACCTACATCTTTACCAAAATTATAATTGGTTGGTCGCTGTGGCAACCTGTCCTGAAAATTTCACAAGATTCCATCCATACCTTTTTGAGTTATACGTGAAAAACTATTCCTGAAATTGCTGTTCTCTTGACAGCCAGGTCCACATATAAACATTTACCAAAATGTTATGGCATGGTTCTCGTGTTAAGGACAACCTTTCCTGACAATTTCATGAGAATCCATTCATAACTTTACGAGTCATAAATAAAAAATCTTTCTCCCAAATGGCTGTTTCCATAGTAACCAGAAACCTATCTCTGCCAAAATTTAATGGGTTCATCCTCATGTCAAGGGCAACCTTCCCTGAAAATGTTATGAGAATTCTTTCTCAACTTTACTTTTTGAGTTTTACAGACAGAAAAACAAACAAACGTGAGCTGGCAAAAACATAACCTTCTTGGTGGAGATTAGTAGTGCCGTTTCACTGTATATGCAACAATTAAAGCTGTATATGCTTACACCTCTGTTACTTTTATCATCAGTCTTCACAAGTCTTTGCTCAAACATCTAGAATTAATAGTTACCGGTAGTAGTGTAAATAAAACAGTAAAAAATAACCTTAAAAGTAAATACAAACATTACTGTAAACTCCCTTGGATACCATCGTGTAACAAACATCTGATCAATAAATGTTAACATTGTAGAAATGTCAATACATGATCAGATTAAACTTTATTACAACCATATAGAAAAGTTGAATTTACTAAGTTAGTGTATAAAATGTAACTACTGGTAAGTTAATTTTGAATAAAACTACTTACCAATCAGTTAAATTATTTGTTCTTTTTTTTTATTTGACAATTTTAGCAAAATTATACTAAAAGGACAATTTCTAGCATTATATTATAGGCATTTTTAAATTCCTGGCTATAACCCTGTTAGACAGAATGTAAAATAAAAGTGCCTGTTAAAATTGTATGTTCCTATCAAAAATGAGGTGGTATTATTTTATGGTTCATCATGTTTATCTTGCATGGGGGAGTTTTAAAACTGGAAGCTAAATTAAAGTGACTGCAGTAAAAACTCTTATTTTTATATCCATAGTGACAATAATTTCAACCCCTGCTTACTACATGTGTAAATATGATGCTAAATCAAATTCATTAATCAATATATATAATAAAAGAAAGAACCTCTGCATTTCAAGCTTGTTTGAAATCTGTGGTACTTTGTATTTCTGAGATACACAATGTTTTATTTTGAATGACATTCATGTATAGTAATCCGTCACTTCAGTAGTCTAGTGTGCTTGCAGTATTTTGTTGTCTAATTACCTCTTGACATTTAAAATGGACCCTCTTGTTGGTTACGTAGATACAGCACGTCTCTATCTTTTACTCTCACTGCTCAATACGTGTGGATGTATATAAAGTGTTTCTTTGCACTCGTTTTCTTTCTTCACCACAGAAGTAATATGATACATGTATTGTTAGAATTAGAATTTAGTGGTTTCCTGATATAGCAAAAAAAAATTAGTTATAAAGTCCGTTTGAGCCGAATTTAAATTTTGCATTACTTAGCATAGTAATGTACATATATGCAATTCATTATGGGGATAACCTCCCATTTTATATAAATGAAAACTAGTGACCACCTGTTAGATTTTATTTTCATTAATAATATACAACTTTTTCATCCCATATCACTGAGCAAAATTTTGATATATGAATAAATAATCTCACCATAGAAGAAATGACAATTTTGACCATTTGCCGTTATATTTTGAACTCCTGTATCTCAAAAAAAGCAACATTTTTGGTATTCTGATGGCATAAACTCATAACAATTAAAGTTTAGCGAATAATGACATAAAATCTTCAATTCGGCTTGAACCTCTCTGATGCAATGAGTATACCTAGTATCTTCAAAGTGCGTATATTGTGATATTCAAATCGCGGTATTAAAATTGTCATTAAATGGGCCAGTTAATTTATTGACCAATGGCATTTATGGGAATTTACTCTTTGGACAAATATTTGATTCAATATTTTAGTAGATAAAAAACAAAATAAATTTCTGAACTGTATGCTTTGAGTACCCTGTAAAGCATGCAAATCATGTAAATATTATTTACTATATTTATCTTTATTTCACAGGTGGTGGGTCTTATTTTATGATATCACGCAATTTAGGAGCTGAGTTTGGTGGAGCAGTGGGTATTCTATTTTATCTTGCCAACACATTTGCAACCTCCATGTATCTTATAGGTGCTGTGGAAATTTTGCTGGTATGTACATGTATTTCTGTTATTTTAATTACATTTTCAAACTTGTAGGGTTCACACATCATGAAGCCGTTCCATCCTTAACCTTTTCACCACCACTCTTTTTCAGCCAAATTTGTGTACACTTTTTCGTTATATTGTTCAATATTTTTGAAAATGAACTCTAATTTTGGTGCCAATAGATAGAATTAAAGTCAATTTTCAATTTTTTCTCAACAAATTTGGCTGTTTTTGTCCCAATCTTCTGAAGGAAAGTGCACTATAAACTGGACTATTCTGTGATGACAAGAGGGAACTGGTAGTGAAAAGGTTGATGATCTATTGAAAATAACTCATAATGGTATGGCTATTAAATTAGCCATATGTCTCGAAGGGTATGTGATAGGCCATGGCATCCCATGGCCCTAATACTACATGTTGTGCCTCTCAGACTTGACTTATTGACTACTATTCATGATGTCTAATGCTTGTGTGAATTGTTCAAAAGGTTCCTGCTTATAAACTTTGAATGGTAGCCTTTCTGGTAATAAAATCATATACCTGAGTGTAACCACAATTTGTTCATGGAAAAGGTTAGGCAGATGGCAATGAAACTTGACAATACATATAGTTGGTTCCAGGTGCTTGATATTTTTCCCAAGTTTTATTCCAAGATGGTTGACTGACAGCCATTTTCTTATTTCACTCTGTCCCAATCTGTTTCTCTGGATCACTGTTTCTGTCTCAAACCTTTACTTTTAACCCTTTGAGTGCCAAAGTCAACTTTTGTTTTCTCTTCATCAAAATAATGAGAAATTATGTCAATTGCTGTAAAATTAATAAAGAAATTGTAAAAAAAATATTCAAAAATGTGCAAATGTTGCACCAAAATGTTGACGGAAAAACTTCTAGTGTTTAAAGGGTTAAGCTTAATATTATTGATATGATTCAAAATTTGACGTGGACTTTATCATTTCTTGTCAATCATGGTGATAAAGTCAGCATGTTCACTATGAAATTGATTACGATGTGCTATGGTAGCCTAGCAACAAGAAAACATAAAAAAATTATTCATGTAATGCATGGAAACAAAACCTTCACATTCTCTCAGGAACTAAAATTTTTTAAGGATGCAGTAGTTTTATTAACAATCATTTGATTTGGCTTCTTGTCTGTGGCTAAAAGTTCATTATCCTAGTGCTGACAACTTGAATAAATCAGGTGCTCGCTGGTTAATAGTGTAAATTATTAGTCCTCGTTCGGACGAAGTCCGAAAACGGGGACTTATAATTCGGTCTCCGTCCGTCAGTGCGTCCGTCCGGAGTCATATCTCAGAATCCCTTGGACCGATTCCGTTCATTCTTTGTATGTGCCTAGTACTTTATGTGGGACATATGCACATGCAGTGGTTTAGCGATTCGATTCAAAATGGCCGACTGGCAGCCATCTTGTTTTTTGAAAATGTTGTATTTTGGACATGCTTTGTCAGTTTTCATTCAAACTTGGTACATAGATTATATATGTTAGGATACATGTCCATGACGATTTATTTCACAATTGGATCAAAGATGGCCGACTGGCAGCCATCTTGTTTTTTGAAAATGTCATATTTTGGACATGCTTTGTCAGTTTTCATTCAAATTTAGTACATAGATCATACATGTTAGGATACATGTCCTGACCGTCCGTGAGTTCCTGAGTCTGTCTGTCTGTCCGTTCGTCCGTGTGTCGTC